AACGTCGAAACTGTAGGTTTTTATATTATGAAAGGGTAAAAACTCGTACTAGGGTATAACTGCGGTGGCAGTAACAGTAAAGGCAGATTGATTCTTCTTACGACGCATCTTAAGAAAACGACTTCAATTTATAACCATACCAGCTGTTACTAACGGTCACGTTACTTTCTGAAACTCTAAAACGTTAAAAATGCTTTTTTTATATAAATTTGTTTTAAATTTTCTTCAAATATCCTTTTGTAATCTTCGAAAATTGCAATACTCATCAAAATTTTCATACTTCAGCATTATAAAAGTGAAGACATTAGAATTTTCGAGAATTATATCAACATAAGATACGAAATTGCTTACCTGAAACCGGCTAAATTCACATTTGAGTTGAAATTCTGTTAATAATACGCGATTACACGTCTGCCAAACCAATATCGGATTAAAATGTCTGCTCATTTCGTCTTAAACAAACAGTAATAATCAATTACGTCGTCTATTTTCTAAAGGTTATATAAAGGTAATAATATATTGAATAAATGACCTTTTTATAATAACTTGAATGCGACAGGAGAGTAACTTTCCTTGTGGTTCATGATTTAAAATTAACTATTTCCCAAGTTTGCTCGTTCAAGTTCAAAGTAACACTTAAGTGAGTAAAAATGTATTAAATTTAAAGAAATATTCATCCTCACCAGGTTTCAGAACACTTAATTCATTTGCAGTTAATTTTTTACGACTTTTTTTAATCAAGACAATGATCGCAAAAATAATTACCAACTATTAAAATATAAGTAGAAAAACGCAACATTGAAATGTAAAGTTTCAAATAGAAACATCTGAGAACGCCGCTTTTCTAAGTTAAACAATTTGAAAATATATATTAAAAAAGTCTTCAATAAGAATATAATAAAACAAATGCAAGCTGAAATAAACAATTATAAAATTTGTTTAGTAAAATGATACAAATAATATGAAATTGATACATTAAGAGTAAGAGAGTACAGAGGAATTTATTTAATATTTTTGATCTCTAGAGAATCTGAACAGAAAATATACAACATTATTTGTATTGATTTATATAATTTACAACTTTAATTTTAGTACTCTTTATCATAACATGGAAATTAAAAAAGTTATAAACACATGATTATTAGCAAAACTTTTGAATAAATTTTCTTTAGAGGGTCATGATTTTTTCACGGATGTTTTATAATAAAATTACATCAACGCAATAGTATAGTGACTTTTATAATAATAATTTAAACTACAAAATTGATTATATTTTATTTAATTATCTGGGTTCACAGGATATTATTAAATATGTAATGTCGCTAGCCATGGAGATATAACTCAAAAAACCCTTTGCATCCGTTTTCAACAGATAAAAACCGGGGGAAAAAGGGTGGTGAACCGACAAACATGAACTTACGCTTATACTTAACACCAAAAAAATAAAATTGATACCTCTGAAAAATACTCGCTAAAGCCTCAAAATTTAACATATCAATCTACTTTTACAATACTGCAAGTATTGATTAATCATAAATCGTAAATTTTTAAACCGACAGTTAAAGTTTCTTGCTTATAAAATTTTATAAATTCATTAACACTTTACAATTTTCTATTAGAAATCAATAAGTAAAAGGGTGAAGCTGATAAAATTTACACATTTATACGTAATATTACAAAGCATGTGAAAGCATTTTTGAAATGCTTTTTTTAAATCAAATGTTCAATCTCTTTCCAAAACGAAAAAGGTTTTTTAACTCAACATGCATATTCATTTTTTTATGAATGCCTGGTACCTCGTAACTTTACTTTGGCAAATATAAATAGTTTTTATAACGAAAGCTTTGTTTGAACACTTTTTTCAGTTCGTATTTTGACGAAAAGTTTTCAGTGACGATGCAAATAAGTCGTAAGAAGAAGTAATTTTTAATAAAAAACAGTTTGAAAGATTTTTAGTTTATAATTTTAAGGAATATTCAGAAGTTTTGCTTTTCTAATTTGTGAAATAAACGATTGGTCATAAAGTAAAGTATTTTGTCAGTATTGTCTTTATGTTGCAGTCTAAAATAACTTATTGTATCTTAATATGTCATTAAATCTCAACAATACCAGTTTGAGATAAAAAGAATGTGGGACGACGGTTTTACATTTTCATCTCATTTTTTTTGACACCATAAAAAACTTCTGCGGTAACAAAAGAAAAAAATAAAGGTCTTTTAAATGTCAACTCATTTGTAAAAAATCCTGCAAAACATTACGTCTGAAATGACTGCTTCAAATGATAAAAACGTTATCTTAATACTATTTTTTTTTTTTTTTTTTGTAGCTGTTTAAAGTTATTTAAAGATATTATATTCGAGTTGGCTGAGTGGTACTTGGGGATCCTCAATGGGTGTTTAAGGGCGGGCCGCTTTCCATCTCCTTGGAAAGAGGGGAGGCTCGTCCTGCTCCAGAAGGGAGGAAGACCTGCAGACTCGCCGTCTGCATATCGTCCCATCGTCCTGCTAGACGATGCGGGGAAGCTCTTCGAGCGGATCCTCGCGTCCCGTGTCGTCCGACACATCAGCAGGGATGGACCCGATTTGGCCGAGTGCCAGTATGGTTTTCGGGGTGGACGGTCTACAATAGACGCCATCCTGAAGGTGAGGAGCCTTGCTGATGACGCCGTGTCTAGGGGCGGAGTTGCGTTGGCGGTGTCCCTTGACATCACCAACGCGTTTAAACTCGCTTCCCTTTGGCGTCATTGAAGAGGCCCTCTGTTACCACAGACTGCCGCACTATATTCGGCGGGTAATCGGGAGTTACCTCCGCGGACGGGAGATCTCGTTTGTGGGGGTAGACGGTAGGGTGCATCGTCACGAGGTGCGCTGCGGTGTTCCGCAGGGGTCGGTCCTCGGACCTCTCCTGTGGAACCTCGGGTACGATTTCGTACTCCGCGGTGCCCTCCCGACCGGGCTGAGCGTCGTCTGCTATGCGGACGACACGCTCGTTGTAGCCCGAGGCGGTGACCTGGCAGAGGCGAAGGCGCTTGCCGAGGCGGGAACCGCCTTAATCGTACGGCGCATAGAGATGCTCGGGCTGAGGGTGGGTCTCGAGAAAACCGAGGCCCTCCTGTTCCACCGCCCTCGAGCAGGACCTCCGACGGGCGCCAGCATGAACATCTGTGGCGTCCGCGTCGAGCTCAGTCCCCGGATGAAATATCTGGGGCTGACTCTGGACGGAAGGTGGAGCTTCCGGGAGCACTTTCGCGGGTTAGTCCCGAAACTCCTCGGGACGGCGAACGCTCTCGGAAGGCTCCTACCGAATATCGGTGGTCCGAGCGTGGCATGCCGGCGTCTCTACACCAGTGTGCTGCGCTCGATGGCGCTGTATGGAGCTCCAGTGTGGGTCGGTGCCCTCACAAGGCCGAACGTGGCTGCGCTGCACAGGGTGCAGCGCGTCATGGCGGTGAGGGTGGTACGAGCATACCGCACTATCTCACATGAGGCGGCTTGCGTGCTGGCTGGGACGCCTCCCTGGGAACTGGATGCCCAGGTTCTGGCGGAGGTGTACCACCAGCGTGCGCGAGAGCGATCCCGGGGAACGAGTCCGGACCGGGATCGGGTGGAAGGTTGGCGGCGCTCCGCGCTCGCCTTGCTATTTCGCCGGTGGAGGCGGAAGCTCTCTGAGCCAGTGGCCGGGTTGCGAACCGTGGAGGTTATTCGCCCGCTCCTCAAAGAGTGGGTGGACCGCCGACACGGTTCCTTGACCTTCCGGCTGGTGCAGATCCTCTCGGGGCATGGTTGCTTTGGGAGGTATCTGTGCCACATAGTCGGGAGAGAGCCGACCGCGGCGTGTCACCATTGCAGTTGCATGGATGACACCCCCGATCACACCTTGGCGGAGTGCCCTGCGTGGGCGATAGAGCGTCGCCAGCTCACCGCGGTGGTTGGCGCAGATCTCTCGTTGCCGGCAGTGGTTCAGGCCATGGTCGGTAGCGAGAGTGCCTGGGAGGCGGTGGTCCGGTTTCAGCGAGTGCGTCATCTCGCGGAAAGAGGCCGCTGAACGAGCGCGGGAAGATGACCCCTCCTCGGCGCCCCTGCGTCGACGAAGGCTGGGTAGAAGGCAGCGGGCCTACGCTCGCCAAATGCCTCCCCAGTGAGAGGAGCCTCCGGGCGTTGGTGGGGAACCGGCGTCCGGGCAACATAGGCTGGAGTGAGAGTGGCGTGCTTGGCGTTCCCGGCACGCTGCTCTGGAGTCGGAGGGGAAGTGTGGTGAAGCCACTGTGACCCCTGCCGAAGACGGAGTCCATGGGACTCGTGCGTAGTGAGCGGAAGTATGGCTTGCCGTTCCCGCTCACTAGCCTACGCACAGCGCAGAGAACGCCGAGGAGTTTAGTGGGTGGAAATCCCACACGCCCCCGCCGTGTTTTCCCCCGCGGCGGGAAGTCTTTTAAAGATTCTCCTCGTTAAAAAAAAAAAAAAAAGATATTATATTCTTAAGCGATTTATTCCAACAGAAAATATTTATTACAAAATAACTAGCTCTTAAAATACTTTATTTATATAGATATTGATACCCAGATGTCGCTTTCCATATTTATGAACATAAAATTATATTCTCTTGGATAACGTGACAAAAATACCAGCCTTTTAATAAACCTTTCATCCCATCAATTATCTTCACCGTGTTCTTATTTTTTCCCATCTTTCATGCGACTTATTTTTGACATTTTCCGTCAGCAAATAAACATAATAAAACTGTTATAAATCTTTAAAATACCTACATATATGTAATATGTAGGTGAATATTTTTGCTGAATTCTTAAACTGTAAATTATTTTATGACAGTTTCGGAACATTCTTTTCGAATTAAAGGATCCTTTTATTAAGATGACAATCTTTTTTTAAACAGTATTCATAGAATTTTTGTAGTAATTCTGAGAAAAAGCTGTTAATCAATTAGAATTATCAGCAAATTATAAAGTTAAATAGATTTATAAACATTTATTTATGTTTCAGATGCACCCCATTCTGCTTCCTATAATTCTCCTTACGACAGTAACCCTTTCATCGAGCAATGTACTACCAATACTGGCCATAAACAAGTTAGACACAGAACCCCCTATTGATGACCAAAACACAGACAATACTTTCAAACATAAAGTGAACCCGGCTATATTTTATAAAGTTTTTATCGGAACACCGAAGGATAATCTACCGAAAAAATCACAATTATCACGTCTCAAAACATTTGACAACGATATAGATCAGATCCTTGCTATTTTTGAAGACGTCGATAATGACGAAAATAGCGAGGGGTTCAGAAAAGAACAGTGGCATAATTACCCGAGACAGCTCGATCGACTTAATAAAAACATTAACGAACATTCGGAAAAGCCCAGAGACGATATTGATATTGAAAAATGGGAACCGGCTAAGAAAAGGGACGAAGTGGATGAAAATAATCACGAAGATATTCTCGAACGCTATGATTCAGGCGTTCTAGACGGTCCGCTGTTTATTCTGAAAATACGTTTAGCATATTTAACGAACAACATGAACCAGGAAAAATATAAAAAATATTTACCTTCTGATATACTATTACATTTATTAAATAGAAAAAACGAGGAAACAGATGATCTGGGAGAGTATAATAGTGTAAGTCCAAGTGAAGTTGCATCCGTTACTAAAACGAAAAGGAAGGAAATGCCAAGAGAAGATTCTCAACTTGCAGGTGATTTATCATAATTCATAGAAAAACCATTTATTTAAGAGTCGAATACTACTCAGTAGTTATAACAATCATTTATTCATACTGTTAAAACGTTAATCGACTTAATAAAGTTGAATATGTTTAATGAATTATTATTCTCACAATTATATTATAAATAAATTAATTATACTACTATAATGACATTTCGACAGTTCTGCGGTATGAAAAGAAATAGAACCTTCTTACATTTTATTTATCAAATCGTTGGGGATAGTGCAAATCCTCGTAAGTAGCATTTGAAAATTCCACGTATCTGCTTTTGTATAAGATTTACAGGGGAAGTTAAAAACTAAATTATTTTCTACATTTAATGAGGTTTAAGGTAATTTTATTCACAGTGAATAATTATTTAGTCTTTAATGTATTCTCGTTGTGAAAAATATATATCTTAAAAGTCATTAATTTAGAAAATATTTCAGCTTAAACCTTTTTATGTCAATCTGTTTCTAAAGCAAATACGTGGAATTATCCATTCCTAATTACGCGCATTTCTTATATCCCCGACGATATTACAAAATACTTATTTTATCCTACAATGACTTAAAGATGAAGAAGTAAAGTTATAGTTAGTTATTACACATTTATTTCCCATTTATTTATAATCTTTTACTTTTGAATATGTATATTAAAAAGAGGCGCTAATGCTTAATAATTAATAAAATAATTGGGTTTAAAGGTCAAAAACTTTAAAAGCTCAATTTTAATCACTCCACGGTTAAAACCTTCAATATGAAAGTCACAAAACATTATGGTTATGACCCAACCCTTATATTATCCTATATAAATTCAGGGGATCATATTAAAAGGCTTCGTACAGTGAAATTATAGTCCAGAAAGGGATTCACGATACTCAACTATACCAAACTATGTAGTAGTACTAATTTATATTCACTATTTCTTAGCTTTACCTTCAAATTAATTTTGATGCTACATTATGGGAATATTACTTAAAATAATATTCCTAGATTTCTTCGTTGTGAGACTCAAATAGTTTTATAGCAAGGAAAAGCCAATAAAGGTCCTCGCCTTAATTATTGTAGTGTTTTTAATCGTGATTATTAGGGGTTTCACAACTGTATACAATGTTTCTAATAAAATTTAAATATATATCTCTTCGACATTACACTTATGCAAAGACTATCAAATACTCGATTTAGGCAGCTATAAAAAGATGCATTCGTGCATACACCGATGCGTACAAGCGCTAAGGTATAAAATATCCTATGAAATATATAAAAACTATTTAATGAAGACTAACAGTTAGCCTCCAAATTCTACAGGAAAAATAAACTAGGATTAGATCTCAGGTATCACGTTATATTTAATATTTTTAATTTATAACCTACTTACTATACTAACGGAATGAATAACTTAATTGTACTAAACTAATAAATAGGTCTTTTTCCGCGAAACGATTTTAAACTGTATGCTGCACCGATTCCCATCCCGACAATCCTTTTAAAAAATGTGCTTCTTTCAGAAAAAGCACTCACTGAAAACAAAGCAATAAAGAAACGAATATTTTCATTATGGAGTCGACTTCAGAGCCTTTCGCACAGGGGTCACGAGCTTCAGCATCGCAGACATTTATACGCCTTCTACGGTCTTCCAGAAGACGGTGGTGGCACCCTGACAGCAGAAACCAGAGCCACTTTCATGAGACCCCCTGGATCGCCGTTGAGATGGGGCTAAAAATGTTCTTAGCACATCGATCACCGAAATTCTGACCTCGTACTGACATAACGATTGTAATGCTTCCTCAATAGTACATAATTATAATAATCTTTTATAATTAATTATTTATGTTCGTTCGTTTTTAATCAAGTAGGCGTCGTTAAGAAGCTGAATAGTACAATAATGTGACCAATATTTGTAAGAGTTTATTTATATTGCATTATTATTATTTTTTACTCGAATAACCAATGACTAACATTTAAACATTGAGAATATTAAACTGACGTAATAATATTTAATCAAAATAATATTATATTGTAAAAGAATACCTCTAAATGTAGTGAACAGTAATACGAATAATGTAGTTGGCTCATATTTAATCATCGCTTCATATTAGACATCATATATAATTTTGAAAATATATAAGAACATGTGTTCCTATATGCTATAGTATTATGATGCTGTAGATTTCTATATAGTTATAATCTCGTTCAAATATTTATTACATATAATATTAATAACATATAACAAATATAGCTTAGTCGTAACGTGTAAATAAATGAATGTCACCATGAATGTCAACTGAGTTTTATTTACTGGTCTATCGTTATAAAATTATTATTTATATACTTCGACCAAGTTGATCATGTGAAGAATAGGCAAAGTTATAATGAGCTACATCTCGATATCAGAATAAAAGTCACAAGAGCTATTAAAGTATAAATTTTCTTCACAATGAACGTCCTCATATCATAACTTACATATACTTACACAAACATTCACACAATTGAGGGTAGGGCTTGATTAATTTAGTAACTGTAATAAAATTATGCAGAGCTAATATTCCTCATTTGCTCTGCATAAAATGGAAATTTACTGAGTGAAAAACAGCGTAGGAGTTCAGAAAACAAATGCTTTTATTGTGACTCATATACTATAGCTGGACCTTTTTTCTCAACAGGCTTTTATAAAGTGGCAGAATCCTTAGAAATTATGGCATTAGGTAAGGCAATAATTTTAATAATGCAAGTTACGTTATTAACTTTCTCTATAAAAAATATTTACAAAATTCATATAGATTTCTATCACAAAACCCAATATACTAGTTAAAATGAATAATGAAGATGGTAACATTTCTTTTAAACAAAATAACTTATTACAATTTTAGTCACTGTTCAAATATTCAAGCATTTATCAAACAACTAAAGTTTTATAAATGTTTGACATGGGCTTACGGTTCTCATGCCTATTTTAAGTAATATTCAAGTAGATTAATATTTAATATTATTTTACCGCCGTCAATAAGAATATTTTGTTATCAACGTTATTTAATTTTAATTATTGGTTTCAATTCATTTTATTTTTTCAAGATTTCTAATTCAATGATTCTATTAATTTTACCGTACAAATTGGGACGAAGGTAATCCGTAGGTATTATGTTTTTTGCGGAAATCATTTTGCCGTAAGAGCCTAGATAAAAATCATTTTACGTCATTTGATAAATAGCTACACTATTTCCACTTGTACATAAAAATATGTATTAATTTATAAAATAGAATAATTGATATCACTTGAATAGATTAATAATCTTGTCAAAATTGTATTTCTTAATACTATACAATAATGTGTATGTGTTTACAACTTAGGTCTTAGTACGTGCACAATTTCAATATATACAGCGACATCTGTGTAATGAAAACTAAATCAGTTAGTAACTAACATCAAGTTGTTTGTTTTGTTATGTCTATAAATAGACAAGTTATTAAAGATAATTCAGTCAAGTTACAAATGATTATGAAGTTTACCTCTCTTAATAAAATTCGATAACATTACAAATCGCAACTTCATTCTCAATTACTAATATAAAATATCATTCAGCGTTACAATGGCGGTGAGTAGATAACAATATTCTTGTTTATTTTGCTACCGACGTTCATTGAATTTCTTCATATTTTTAATGTTCTTTGAAACGCATATTTAAACACTTAATGACATCCAAAATACAGTATCCAATATTAATTTCAGATTAAAATAATAGTTTGACGTACTATAACCTCAAACTCAAACATTATATGTGTTGCCATAATCAAAAAAAATGTTGCTATCTCTAAATTTAAAAATAATATACATTTTCTTAGTAATAAAACGAATTATTTTTTATAAAAAGGAAACACGTGCTATACTGTACGGGTTTTGGGCGTCATCCTGTACGTGGCGAGTCAGAGCAGCCTTACACTTTAAGGGCATTGCGTTTGAGGAGAAATCAGTAGATATTGTTAAGGAGCAAAAACAACTCACAGATGAATATCGGTCTATCAACCCATCCCAAAAAGTTCCAGCACTAGTTATGAGTAAGAACAATTGACAATTTACTATCTATTAATGTAAATTTACAAATGTGCCTTAGATTCCCATTCTTTCTCTTTGTTCCCTGTTGTTTGTACTATACTCTAACCACATTCAAACATTACGTTATTCGCGGAATATAAATTAATACATTAAATATTCATAGAATGTTCTTTAATAGACACGAACAAATAACAATAATATTTATGCCAATATTAAATAGCAACTCCTTTGTATATTTCTAAAACAAATATTGAAATATTGATCGATATTATTTGTCTGACGTAGGAATAAAAACAATTCGTAAAAAAACGTACGTTTGCTTACCATAGGTATTACGATTTATCTAGTATTTCATTGAGTTACCTTTGGAAGTTTCTTATTTCTACTTAATACTTACTAAGCTTATTGTAAGTATTAAGTAGGATGACTATAATGAACGGTTTACACTTTTCACTTATAATAACGCTTAAAAGAAATATAATAAAAACGTTTTTTTATTAAAAAATAATTCCCGAATTGCCGGGAAGCATCAATATTATAAATTTGGGTCGGAACGATAAATAAATTGGGACGGATAATTTTCATGTTTCGATCGTAAAAAGCTAAACGTCTTATAACCAACACATTCCCAATGACATATAATGCGAAATAAAGTCGGAAGAAACCTCTAAAGCTATATTATATCTATTACATTGACAATAGTTACGTACAGGCTAAAAAGTAATTTCTCGTCCACAAAGTCTATCGCTTCGTGACAATGGTTTTGCGATAAAACCAGATTAAATTTGGCTGGCTTCCAAGCTGGTATCACATTATACCCTTTTAGGTTCGTGTAACACATACCTACAACCCATAAAAGTAACGGTTAAAAGACTTGACATATTAGGAAATATAAATAATGATGTTTCTAACTCAGAAATCAGAATCTTAAGAAATAAAATTTGAATTTATTTAAACAATTATGAATTACCTTAATGCATCGAATATGTTTTAAAGCCACGTTGTACTAGTTACTTACTAATTAGCAATTAATACCTACTTATCTATTTTCTATTATAATATGCCTTTTATTAATCAAGTCCCACGTATTTCCAACTATTAATTCATTATTAATGTAAAGTCAATGAATAAATTTTAATATAGCATTTTATAAAATACAAACATTAAATTTAGTGTAAGCTTGAATAACATCTTTGGAAATCCAAAAATATAATCCTCATTGTACAAACGTCTTATAAAATGTTGACTTTTGTGTCCCAGATGAAAGGCATTCATTTTTTTCAATCTCCATCCTTTGTGTCAGCAATAATTACAGTTTTCCTAAACATTTCATTTACACCCATATTAAATCAAGTTACCGTATATTCCAAGCTTTTAAACCTGCAATTTCTGTGTTATAGTATATCATTTACTAATTTTATTAGTGCATAACCAAATTCATCGATCAATGCATATTATCTGACCTAATACGATCCACGGACTGTAATCTCATCTCGTATGAACCATTCATCTCTATATCAATTCATTACAATACCGAGCTAATTGTGCCTGTTGTGATATCGGGGTCAACATTCGATGTCCTCATATAATTGCACTTATATCCAATCGCGGCACACTTCACAATAACTGCTCCATCATCGCTAATGATCTGTGTTTAATTGCCAATACAAATAAAATAGGTCGACATTATGACATTATTTATATTAATTGTATACGAATTTCACGATCACATCTAATATTGAACGAAAGGTGCTTCTGTCATGCCAATGTGAAATCTACATTTATTTCAGTGCTTTCTATATGAAATAATAAAATATTTTGTTTTACATTAATTATGCTTCTAGTAGCAATTACGTATACGCAATACATTAGAAAAATTATAGGTATGTACTTACATTTGATATGATATTAATATTTATATATGGTACTTCACTCATAAGTACAGACTTCATGTAATCAAATTAAAATTGATTAGATAATATTAAAGATATATTATTATAAATTATATAGTTTAATATTAAATAAATAAAGCTATAAATAAATAATAAAGCAGTAAATTGAATAGCAATCATACAGCAATGAACAGGTCAATGGCTCGTCAATTTAACCATTGCGACACCCAATAAATAAAATAGAAAAGTATTTATTGGTATTCACGACGTCGTCTGTTATAAATTAAAGATAATATAGATATACTTATAATACATTTTTTCCCCAGCGCCCTTCATAATAACCAATAAGTATTGGTATAGCAGTTAATTAGCTTCTCTTATTAACGTTGACTATGTAATAAAAATTTCGCAAAAAATCTTTGCCATATTCGTTAATGTTAATGTATGTAGCGATCATAATAATTGTATTAGTTAATGTTATTAATATGAAAGAAATGTTATGTGGAAAATTCAATTATCCGAACATACAACGAAAATTTGACAGACTAGTAGCAGTAAGTAATATTTTACTTAAGGCAACTGTAACGATAAACTCCGGGAGGTTTGAGATTCAATTCTTGTCGTGTCTATGAATTTTTATTCAACATTTTCTATTTTCATGTTAAGTTAAACGAATTTTTTTTTTTACTTTTCAAAGTTTCAGTATTTATTGGATACTTGTAAACAATAGTTAAATTTATCCATAGACAGTGTTCATTAATATTGGAGTAAAAAATACGAACATTTTTTGTTATTGTTTTTATATTTCACTTTTATGAATAAAATCTGTCCTGTATTGTTTTGTGGATCTTCTATCATCGAGATTCATAATTATTATTGTAGACATCTTTTCAATCTTCCATTAATTTTGAGAGACGAAAGAACAACAGCATTCTATGTCATCATATAGTAACAATGAAATGGTATTGTCAAAAACAAAATGAATAAGTAAAAAACATTTGAATAATCAAATAGTGTAATTCATAAATAATCAAAAGTACTTATATTTTATTGACATTATAAAAATCATTATCCATCTACATATTATATTAAGTTCTCGTATGTAAAAATAATAAATATGTCTCCTATGTTATGGATAAAATTTGTTTTTTTAATAAATCAAGAAAAATATTATTTAACATTTGGTATATATTTTTATATTTATATACCAAAATATTTAAACAAAATTTTCACATTTCTCATATACTAGATGTGTATGAGGTCAGTTCCTTTCTTAAAAATGTTTTCGTGACTATACATACAATTTTCAAGACCCCAGAAACATAAAAGGGAGTGCTTAATCTACAATTCAATTTTGTTATTTAAGGTTTATCTACTTTGAAATAAACATTTTTAAACAAAATTTTATTGTATAAAATATATTCACTGTCCTTGCCTGAAGCGTTATAAAAAGTTAAACTTAATATTCGAAAATGTCACAAAAATGTAAGACAAAAGGAAATGTTCAAGTAATGAGGTAACTTCGAAAAAAGTTTTGAAGTTTAAATTTTCGCGTGATGGAAATTTCTCGAACCTAACCAAAGTCGAACGTTGATAGGCGCAGTAATTGCAAGTAGACAGAATTCATCCCACAAATTGAAATTTACGAGAGGTACTCCAAATAGCAGTAATCGATGTACGTCCTCTCACTAACAATTTGGCCACACTCTGATGGTTGTAGTTGACAGGATTTTAATGAACCCGTGTTGACCGGTTCAATTAATGGCATCGATTTTTTTAGTTATTACTTCCACGTGTAGAAATAACTGTGCAGATACTTATGCTGTTTTAATACAAAAGAGGGTTCAGGGTAGCGGTCAATTTCTGATACGTTATATTTAATGAGCTGATGATGATGGGAGAAACGCAGGTCAAAGGCTTCTCACGGCTCGGAATTGCACCTACTTGAAAAAACTTATGTGTAAAACATGTATAAAATACTGGTATAATAATAAAAAAACGGGCGTTATATTAAAACATGAGCCTAACAAGACCTACTTTATTTTTATAGGATTTTCGAATTAAATTTAAACTTCTATATATTCTACCAAAGTTTTGGAAGTTATCATCCTCAAGGAGTGGAGTTATGTTGAGAGAAAAAGGCGTTGAGAATCTTAATATCTGTTCTTGTAATAATATTTGTTTTTGAAAAAAAACTACCTGCGCTTCGTTTGATTTTGAAATGAAATCCCTCATTCATTTTCCTTTCTTTGTTCTAATTCCTTAATTTAAAAATATGAAGTTCTATTATACATAACTAATCGCATGTACTTGTGAAATATCTAGCTTTTAGTGAAGAATAGTAGACAGTAACTTCTCGTTTTCTTATTCTCGTTTCTAATACTAGCACTAGTCAGTATTCACACTATTTCGTACAAATAAACTAAAAACTACAATTTAACTGAGAATTGTTAGAATATTTACTTCTTTAAAAAATTATCGGAAGAAAAAATTACCAATTATTCTATAAAATTAATATGATTTTGGTTTTGGTGCACTTAATTTTAATTGAATGCAGTCATATTAATTCCGCTACGAAACATTTAAATGAATTCCAATATAGGAGTATAATTTAAAGTGAAAAATTGTTCCATACACTTCAATTATTTTTTTTAATGAACTCGACAAAGATCTTAGGTATGGTCTTCAGTATTAAAGAAACAACGTGCCGTTTTTCAGTTAAGTATTTTAAATACATATAACTTATTCTTGGTTTTCTCAAATTGATTCATGCGATCCGTAAAAAGCCCGCAGTCAGCAATTAAAAAATCTGTTTGTTTGAATGTTATTTAAACATGCAATTTTCGCTTTTTTAGCATACCGTTATATAATTCACCAGTTTTTTGTTATTGTTCATAAAATATCATTATTTTTCTACAGATGGTGAAACGATTGTAGAGTCGATGGCAATAATACAATATCTGGAGGAAATGCGACCAGAAGTAAGCCTCGTTCCGAAATCACCAATTCTGAGGGCTCGTATGAGGGAAATTTGTGAGGTTAGTAGACAAAATATTTCAATAAAGAAATAAAATAAAAATCTCAAGAATACTTGATCATTTCTGCAGACTATTGTGAGTGGAATCCAGCCCCTGCAAAACATTGGTCTCAAAAGGCATTTCGATTCAGAGAATAAGTTCAAAGAATTTGCCGAATACTTTACAACGCGTGGCCTAGAAAGTGTTGAGGAACAGCTCAAAAAAACCGCCGGCCGCTTTTGCATTGGCGATCAAATTACCGTCGCCGACTTATGTCTTGTACCACAAGTTTATAACGGGATTGTGAGGTATTATATTATTTAATAATCATTCTAATGAATTCCATATAATGTTACAAAATAATTAGTTTTAATAATTTCCTTCGATAATGCCATGTCCAAAACTTTCATCCCAATACAATTACAAAGGGACTGAAATATGATTGTCCCTAGGGAAATTTAATGGCTGTATCATTAGTAGATATTAAAATCGTATTGCCTCCTACGACATATATTTTATGTTCGTTAGATTGGGATACGTCATCAAGTCGACTTAACGAGACCTACTTTTCAATTAGACGCCCGTCAAAGCTGTTAGATGATTTATAATTTGACTTTCCACGAATATTTCAAGTATAAAACTAAAATAGTATATCCATAATAATTCTGAACTGTAATGATTTGATTGTATTAATATAGAAGTTATTTACAGGTTCAATACAATGCCTTTTGTTTCAGACATAAAATAAACATGGAAAAGTTCCCAATTGTTTCCAATGTATACGAGCATCTTTTGAAAGAAAAAACTTTTATCGAAACTCATCCAAAGAACATCAAATGAAAAGGATAATAAAGAGAAATAAACTTTTCTATTACACTATCGAATCTTATTTACTCATCCTCAACACTAACTCGTTTTAACTTAACCTGAAATACAATAATCTGATAAGAAGTGAATAATATCTAGGAATTGAAGATAACTATAGTTTTTGGTTGTGAGGTCTTTTAATAAAATAAAATAGTCAAAATATGTGCATTTTGAAATGTATTCTTCATACAAAAATTATTATCTACAAAATTAATGGAAGCTTACTGAAATTTATTAAATCAACAAGTATTATTAATTTTATTTGCACGCTCTACATAGGAATTCATTAAAACGACAGATTTTTCAAAAGGTTTAAAGATTTTCATACACGTTTCAAAGCAACATTAGAGGTCTTAAATGTTTCCGATTCATTGATTAAATACGAGTAATCTTTTTAATAACTACAAGTTTGCCTCATCACAATACAAACGGGACGTTAACCGTTTATTCATAAATCTTTGCACATTATATGTAGTTATGACTTATAACGAAAGCTATTGACTTAGTAACGGGTTACGCTACGTGTGTTATGTGACGTTGCATAGCTGTATTAAGAATATCTACATATTAACTTTTTCAAACTTATAAAAATAATATATTTCTGCAATAACGTAATATGGAATGATAATAATTAATTAATTAATCCTCTTCAGTAATTTTAACATAAATGTAAATTAATCAAATTGTCGAAAAAATTAATTAAGCATACACACTACCAACACTTATATTCGGTTCACGGATATGTTTTACAATTCAGAAATTGTGGAGGTCACGAAAACTCCATTAAAGTTACAGTAATGAAGTGTAGCGACTTGTCTACTTTCTCATTTATTTTGGGTTTGCTTAACGAATACAAATTGTTAAAAAAAACATCTGACAGGAGAAAGATATTTGTCGACTGCCTTCGGCAATATCATCTCTTGTGGTGTATATTTTTTCTTCAGTCAATTAATTTCGAGTATTCATTTATATTATGTATTGTACATATAAGCAATATATATGTACGCAAATAAATAAAAACCTTTAAAAGTGAGTCGAAATTTCGTATTTCATGATACTAACTGTAATTTATGATCTATATACATATATATATATTATTTATATTCTATATATATTATCTCTATCCGAAGAAGGGACAGGGAATCATTTATTTATATGTATATTATATAATTGTGTCTGTAGTTCTCTTCAATAGAAGAGAACTACAGACACAATTATTTTCACAAAAAAAAATGAGAGGATAGTTAAATATTCTTAAAAGTGGATATATTTTTTATTGAATACTTTCTTTTTAGCACTCCTACCACTTTGATTATCACACTATAAAATTTATGTCAAATACTACATTTGAATAGCCAAAAACAATTTGAATATACATATTTTGTTATAACCAACGGCAGCTGTAATTTAATTGATAACACACTCCGTTTGTTCCTACCCCAAGTTTTGAAAGTGCACACTATTATAGTTATGATTATTATTGAATAAGAAATGGAGAACGTTTCATATATAACATGTCGATGCTAACTTATGTAAATTGTACAGTACGCTATGAAAAATCACGAACAATTGAAGCTTTGCTTTAACTAATACGCAAAAATGTTGAAAAGTATACTATATAATTAAAAAGTCTTATAAAGTTAAATAATATATTCGATTATTCACATATGTTACTGGGAGAATCGTTTAATTTAGTTAGTTTTCAGGATATTTGTATTTATGTAATAGTTTTATACAGATTTATGTCGTGCCTAATATTGTGGGAAAATGTTTTTATATATACATTTCACAGTACATAATCGCTTAGTCTGAGAAGAAAAGGGGCGAAAATAGAACAATATTTTCTGTAGATTGTCGTTAAAATCTATATTTCAAGCAATAAGATAGTAATTGTTAATCTATTTTACAAAAGTGTCATCCCACAACAAGTGTTTGTTTAATTTGAAATCTAACGAGGACGTCGACGAGCTTTTCAGAGTCAAGTGACAATCAAAAAGTCCAATAATTTGTGCTGAAATGAAATCAGTTTTCCCAATCTAAATATAAAATGTCATTTAATTTATATTCATAAAAAATGCTATATAAAAAATTAATACTGAAACGCCTATTTCATGCTCAAAGGGTAGAAGTTTATATACAAAAGAACTGTACTTGACAAGCAAAGAAAATAAAATTAGATGTTGATTGAACTGACTGACATAATAAATAATGTTTCTATTCCATTTCAAATGAGTATTGAATGTATGTTTTTATTTGAGAAGCCTTATTACGTGTAAATACATTTGCGAATTTTTTACATTACTATGAGTTTTTTTTTCAAACAAGCCGCAGGATGCTTAAGGAATATTATAAAATTATAATTAAATATTTCACAACAATTTCATTTCAACATACCTACAAATTAATTGCATGTTTAAATTTTCTAAAACCAACTGACAGGTTCTTGTCATATACCTACTAGATATTGTATCTTAAATTTCTATTAAAATCAACACGACGGACTGTGTTCCAATTTTGTTTTAACAAATAGCTGTGGCTGTAAATCATAATAACTAAAATGTAAATAAAACCTTCTAGACACAGCGAACGTTGATCTCCAGTAAGTGATATTTATTATTTTGACACGTTTTAATAAATTGTAACGAACTGAGATGGTCTGGAGGATGTGTGGTGTAGTCAGTGAGGCGAACGTCGTCTTAAAGACGACATGTCGTCAAAGAAATATACAAACGTATAAACAACAACCCCTCTCGGAATGGGACCTCCTGCAAATATTATCCCTCTGACATATTTATTCGGGCCGCGATGGCACTTCAGATGAAAGGGTTGCTCCTTATATTGTTTTGCGCTCTCGCCCGGGGAAAGGGGGAAGGTGAGTAAATGTTCTGATTAAAATAGAATTGTTTCGTCTCTTATTAAATATTTACACACGAATGATTTTACAAAACAAACAATTTCTATGCTATCGTTAGAGATTTTAATTTGAATAGCAAATAACAATATTACACAGAGATATATTTTGAGTATTATTTCTAGACAAGCTCGAGATATTTGACGTTCTCTCCGTGGTCAACTATGATGGTCTTCCTGAGGGGGTGTCGCGAACTCCAGGGCGATGTCAGAATAATCCTTCTGAGCAAGATTACTCAGCCCTTTCCCTTAACGAGAACGCAACATTGCATCAGCTCGCTGCTGGGATGTTTTACAATACGTTCCCTGAAGACTTTTCCATATTGTCAGTCGTGAGACTAAATGGTAACTAACAAGTATAATTAAAAAATAATAACCTATTTTATCTAAACGTTAAAAGATCTTTTTTATATCCTTGAACTATAATTAAAAACAATCAAATATTGAAAGGATATCGAATAACTCTGTATAAAGTCGACTAAGTCCTTTTTTTATGAAATTTTCAGAACTCACTTCTGTAATATATTGTAACCATATTTTGATACATAGATTTATATTGAAGACCTCTAACTAAATCAAATAAATAATAAATATTGAAATATACATAAAAAGACCATGCTTAAACCAGCATAAAATATATATACAGTGGAGGTTAATCCAGTATCCTTTTTTTAGTAGCTTAAGTTTTAAGTATTTTATAATACTTTTAACGTCACTCAGGTCCAGAACAAAATCCTCTCTTCGTATTATATTCGGACGCTGGAGATGAACAACTACAAGTGGTTGTTGGGGAGATGATAGAACTGTATTACGAAGACACACGAGGAGATCCCGAAGATCATGAGCTACTCAGCTTCCGAGTCAATATAACAGATGAAAAGTACGAAACAGTTATATAAGACTAATAATAATTAAATTTTTTGACATAACCAATCTTAAAGACTATGTGTAAGAACTTAAAATTAAATGTTTAAATTTACTTTTTTCAACAGATGGCATAGAGTAGCATTAAGTATAAAGGGTGACTCGGTAACATTGTTAGTAGATTGTGAAATTCAAGACACACTGCCTTTAAGACGTCATCCGGGAAGTACATTCAACTTGGCAGGAGTTTTAGTTGTAGGCGCTCAAGTGACGCCAGATCAATATTACGAGGTAAAATTTAACAACTTTAAATACTTCTAATTTTCTTATATAATATTTAAATACATAAGCATATTTTAGTTTCCAATTTAAACATAAATACCAGTTTTAATTTAACTCTTTATGTAAAAAAAATCAATGATCTCTTAAATGAACATAAATATTCATTCAATAAAATGGTATATTGATTGATAGACCGTACTGATTGCTGGTACCGAATTTCATTTATTCCTATTAGAATTCCGAATACATGATGGTATCTTATTTATTAGCGTTGATTGTTTCTTATAGGGCGATATTGAATTGCTCCAATTTGCTAATCAACCGGACCTTGCCTACGATATGTGTATATCAATCGCTCCAGACTGTGGATCGTTTGGGTTGCAAACCTCAGATTTAACGTTGGATAATTCTGATTACGACGAAAAAGATTACGACGATCGTATTGAAGTAACTGAATCGGCAATTCACGTTGAAAGTGAAGAGAAACCTTCGAATCAGTTTGAACAGAATTTATTTATAGAAAGACAGAATCAATCGGAGAATCAATGGGCAGTTTCAAGCAGAGACATGTCCACTTTAAGGCCGTATTGGCAAGTCTCGGAGTCGTATGCTGTTACTCCGCCCTATCCTCTAGTAACAGATGATGGTAAAAGATGCACTTTCTTTATGACTCTCGTAAATAGGCTACTAATATTAGTTGTAAAATTTCAAATAGCAAAATGTATACGAAATATTTACTAAACTTGTCACAATTTTCTTATTCTTTTTCATTTTAATAAAAAAACTATTATTTTTAAATGTTTATATTCATATTTTTTTATTATCTTCATATAGATGAAAATAGTATCTTCGGGAGATTTACAGATTCAGACGATTTTATTTCTTCCGGTAACATTCAAGAAACGCCACCCTCACTC